TTGAGTTGTGGTGCTGGCGAGGAATGCTGAAGGTACCATGGACTGCTAAAAGAACTAACAGATCTGTCCTGGAGGAAGTGCAGCCAGAATGCTTGTTGGAAGCAAGAATGGCCAGACTTCGTCTCACCTATTTTGGTCATGTTGTAAGACGCGACCATCCCTGGAGAAGGATGTCATGCTTGGTAGGGTGAAGGGTTGACGAAAGAGGGGGAGTCCTTCAACGAGATGGATTGACACAGTGGCTGCAATGATGAGCTCAAGTATAGCAGGGATTGTGGGACTGGCACGGGATCAGGCAGTGTTTCGTTCTGCTGTGAGTCAGAAACAACTCGACGGCACTTTACAACAACAACAGCCAAAGCAAAAAGGCAAGAAGTAGAAGCAAAAAGCATTCAAATTGGCAAAGAAGTAAAACTATCTCTATTTTTAGATGATATTATCCTATACATAAAAAAAAAAAAAAAATCCTAGAGACTCTACAAGAAAGCTACTGGACCTATTAGAGGGATCCAGCAAAGAAGTAGGGTACAAGATTAACATATAAAAATAAGTCTGATTCCTCTACACTGAAAAAGAGAACTCTGAAAAGGAAATCAGAAAAAGAATACTATTTTCAAGGCCACCCAAAAGATAAATTAGTTATGAATAAATCTAGCAGAGAAACAGAAGACCTATTCAAAGAAAACTACAAAACACTAATACAAGAAACCAGAAGAAACCTACATCAATGGAAGAATATACCATGCTCATGGATAGAAAGGCCTAACTTTTTGAAGATATCAATGATACCCAAAGTGATCTACAGATATAATGTAATACTGAGGAATTCTGTCACCATTCTTTAAAGAAATGGAAAAACTATTCACCAAGTTCATATGGAAAGGAAAAAGACCCTAGGTAAGCAAAGCTCTAATAAAAAACAAGAACAAAGTAGGAGACCTCACACTCCCTGATCTCAAAATCACAGTGGTCAAAACAGATCTTGGCACAACGATGGACATATAAAACAATGGAACAGAATTGAGAGCCCAGAAGTAAATCAAACTACTATGCAGAGCTGATCTTTAACAATGGGTCAAAACCTGTTGAATGGGTAAGACACAGTCTCTTTAACGAATGGTACTGGCCAAACTGGTAATCCATTGGTAGGAAAATGAAACAAGACCCATATTCCTCAACATATACAAAAACTAACTCAAGAAGAATCAAAAACTTAACTATAAAACCTAAAGCCATAAAAATCATCAAAGAAAAAATAGGGGCAAATTTAGAGGTTCTAACGCATGGCATAAATACACTATAAAACGTAATTTTAAATGTACAGACAGCATAATATAAACTACTTGACTGAGACCTCCTGAAAATAAAACATTTATGTACATTAAATGATTTCACCGAGACAGAACCTACAGACTGGGGAAAAAATTTGGCAACAACATATAAGGCAAAGGCCTAATCTCTCACATTTATAGAAAACTTCAACAGCTAAATAACAAAGAGTCAAACAATCTAATTTAAAAAGGTCAGAGGGCCTGAACAGACACTTCACCAAAGAAGACATTCAGGAGTATAACAAACACATGAAGAAAAAAATGCTCGTGATCTGTGGGCACAAGAGAGATGCAAATCAAAACAACAGTGAGATATCGTCTTACCCCAGCATTAACAGCAAAGTTCAAAAAATAGAAAGCACATGCTGGTAAGGGTATAGAGGGATTGGAACCCTCATACAATGTTAGTACTTCTGTAGACGGATACAACCATTGTAAAAAGGGGTATGGCACTTCCTTGTTGTTGTTGTTGTTATGTGCTGTCGAGTCGGCCCGACTCATAGCGACCCCTCCTTGGGTTTCTGAGGCAGTACCACTATGGAAGTAGGATTGCCCAACCTTCCTTCCGAGGAGTGGCTGGTGGGTTTGAACCGCCAGCCGTCTGGCTAGCAGGCAAGTGTCTTAGCCACTATGCTACCAGAGCTCCCTTAAGAAGCTGGAAATAGAAATACCGTATGATCTCACAATACAACTATTAAGTATATATTTCAGAGTAATGTGAGTCATGACATGAACAGATTTATGCATTCTCATGTTCATTGCAGCATTATTCACAATAGCAAACAATCTCAGTGTCCATCAATGGATGAATGGATAAACAAATTATAGTCATACACACAATAGAATATTACCCAACATTAAAGAATAATGATGAATCTGTGAAAAACCTCATCACATGGATGAACTTAGAGTACATTATGCTGAA